ATTGTGACAAGAGGAACTTCCACGTGTATTTTCAAAATCTCCCTATTTTTGGAAGTGTGTTGTCTAGAGACATGCAGGACTCTCGCTCCTCTGAAATCAGGCTCCTCTAAACTTACCAGTTAATTAATGAGTCTTTACTGACAGGCTCAGGCTCTGACAGAAAGACACAGCCAGCATGCTTATCACAAGTGCTTTTGCAGAAAAGGTTCCTTTAAGAGTCAGGATTTGTGCCAGAACACATTTGCTACAACCAAAAGCTTGAAATTTGAGAGTTATCCTCACAGAACAAGTTAGTGGGAGAACAATCACAGTTATTTAATATTATAGTCAGGAGGTCGATCAGCCTTACACACAAAGGGAAACATCCCACCCAGATGTTTCCCAAAGGATCCCAGGGAATCTGCTTTAGCTCTTTTCCAAGTGGAATAAGAAAATACATCTAAAGTAACTTGAATTATTGAGTGGTAGAAAAGAATCTTGTATTAAAATCCATACCCGATGCCTTTGAACCACAGCAATGGTCAATCTGGAAGGAATATGTTCCCTGTGTCTGGAATACAGCTTCACATCTTAAGATCTATTCAGGGATCTGGAAAAACTTAACTCACTCAAAGGGACAGCGCTGCTGCATTTTAAACCCAGCAATCCAAATATTCCTCAGTGTATAATTATGGACAGAATGTCAGAATGTATGGGTATAGGCCTAGCTGGGGCAAGCGTCTGTGCTTTCCAGGTTATTAAGTTAAGAATGTTGGGCTCCTGGGACAGAAAGTTTAAAATGAATAATGGCCTGGGATTGTGAGAGCAACTGTCTGTTTTTTTGGCATAGAAATTCTTGTCATCTGTGCGCTGGGGAGCGGCTGGGTGAGAGCTAGGGTGAGACAAGGGTCAGCAGTGCAGAGCAGCGGCTGGGGCTCTGGACTCATTGCTGGAAGGTTGTGGGTCCGAATCCCATCATGAGCACTGCTGTTGTGCCTTTCACGTGACTTGTTCCAGTAAAATACCCGGCTGTCTAAACAGGTACAAACCCCTTGGATAAAAGTGTCAGCCAAACAAACTGGTTATTCAGTTAGAAAGTGCTCTAGATGTGTTTTATCTGCTTCACAGGGCTTTGCCTGCATTGTAGAGATCTTGTTATTACAGTATGATTCAGACACTTTTCACGCCTGGACCTCTCTTGCATCAGTCCAGTCCTCACAGTCACTTTGGGTCGTCTTGGATGTGCAGGAAAAGCCCGTTTCCGCCCTCTGAAGGGGAGGTTCTGCTTAGGCCGTTTCCCCACGGCGCAGCAGTGGATGCAGTCGGAAAGTAGGTGGGAATGTGTGTGATGATGGTTCGTTAGAGTTTTATTACACAGAATTGGCACAACGTGGTGGGGAGGAATGGGCGGCTTAGGGGTGATCCGGAGGACAGGCTGGATGGATGCTTCCTCCTAACCCCCCCCCCACTAAAATAGTGATTTCCTATTCAGCATTTCACTTGGACTGACTTTCCGAAACCCTGCTTTATTGGCTCAGGATGTTTAGGATGGGTGAGGGAATTCTGAGGGAATTAACTGCTTGCTGGCACTGACTTGGATTTTCCTTGCTGTACATGAATCGCCAAGCCTGGCGAGTGAGAGGATGATAAGACACTCCTTTTTATTACATACAAACCCCCCGAAAAGGTGCGTCTTCCTAGACGGAGCCATTGGGGAAGCGTGACCTTTTAATTGAAAGCAGAAAAAACAACAACTCTTGGTCGGCAAGAGAACAGTCGAGAAGATGGCACAAGAAAATAAAAAAGGGAGGTACAGGAAGAAAGCAAGTTTTATTTCTTAAACAAATCTTTGTTGTAATACACAGCCAGTATCTGGAAACATTTATGTCAGCCCGAGTACAAAGGAGCTTCCTGTTCAGTTAGTGAAATCCATTTGTTTATAAATATTTATTCAGTTTCTTATTAAAGGGTTTCACTATGACCACAAAACCCTCAATGAGATGTTAACATGATAGCTCTGCCTGTACACATAATGAATAACTGAACATCAGATGAAAGGCCGCAGAGACACTGGCACTGATACATCACGACAGTTTTCTTGTTTCCCTTCCCTTTGATTGGTTTAGTCTTAAAAGTTTGCCTTGCAGTGTGCTTTCCATTAGAGCACTCTCCTCGTGTGACTCTTCTCTTCAGCTGTGTGCTGTGACTTAAAAGCAGATTGAGCCGGTGAGAAGCAACCTCCAGTTCTTCACAAGAGAGAACAACCGCAAGATGTCTTGACATCTCTTACGGCCTTCAGGGCCATGGGGGCTCCCCAGTGCAGCTTTGTTTGGGAACACTCATGGCTTATTAATTGTTTATGCAAGTAATGTGTTCAGCCAAAATAACTTGTCCCTGAAGGTTGATGGGTACAAAGGTTGTGGTCCTTAATGACCTCCAATTTACTCAGAACGATGATTTCCAGATTACCACTACAGTGCCTGACTGGGATTGCAGGAGAGGTGGGAGGGTTGGAGAACTGGGATAGACCACTGTATCAGAGCTGCATGGTGAGGAGCTTTAGTGACACACGGTGGCGGAAGAAAAAACACTTCTCTTTGAGTATTCAGACGCTGTGCAAATGTAGACGATTTCCATCCTTTTCCGGATGTTACCGTTGTGTTGCTCCAAGCTTCTTTGTCAGTGTACAGGTCTGACCCTTCTGTTTTAGTTACTTTAGTTCTGCCTTTATTATTTATTATTAAATAAAAACTTAAGAATTGGATTCCTCAGTGCCATACCATGATGCTTTTGCTTTTTTTGCTGTGTGGTTCCCAAATCTGAATTTTTCAGTACAGTACTGATTTAATTTCTAGTGTGGGCGTGTTCCCCCTACAAAATTGTGGAATTTTGGCATTTTGGATGATATACCGTGATGGAAACCATGTGTGTTTTTGAGGAATGTTAGTTATGGTACATCATGGTTAACTCCCTTGTCTTATCTAATATGTCTCAGTAAATCACACTTTAAAACCATAGCAGACCACAGCATCGCTAAGAGTTATATTAAAGGTTCCTGATAAGTCTTATACCTGCCTGACAGAGAAAATATTCACCCAAAAACCCCCCCCAGTGCTTGAGTAAATCCTACCTTCATATGTTGCTGGTCTTTAATATACCTCAACAAAAGCAGTAACTATAGGGTCATGACAAAGAAACGAATTCCAACTTTATCTTCACATGCTCAGAAAACAGTATTAAAGTTCTTTCCTGTCATTTTGTATCTGTTCCTGGCATCTCTGGGATATATTGTCCCTAAAGCAAGGTGCAGGCTTCACGCTACAGTTAATCAAAGGTGCCACAAGGGGGTGCCAGACACACAGTAATAATAATAACTTGCTTACACTTCTATAGCGCTTTTCTGGACACTCCACTCAAAGCGCTTTACAGGTAATGGGGACTCCCCTCCACCACCACCAATGTGCAGCCCCACCTGGATGATGCGACGACAGCCATAGTGCGCCAGAACACTCACCACACATCAGCTATCTGTGTGGAGGAGAGCAGAGTAATGAAGCCATTCATAGATGGGGATTATTAGGAGGCCATGATGGGTAAGGGCCAATGAGAAATTTGGCCAGGACACCGGGGTTACACCCCTACTCTTTTCAAGAAACACCCTGGGATTTTTAATGACCACAGAGAGTCAGGACCTCGGTTTTACGTCTCATCCGAAGGACGGCGCCTGTTTACAGTATAGTGTCCCCGTCACTATACTGGGGCATTAGGACCCACATGAGCCACAGGGTGAGCGCCCCCTGCTGGCCCCACTAACACCTCTTCCAGCAGCAACCTTAGTTTTTCCCAGGAGGTCTCCCATCCAGGTACTGACCAGGTTCACACCCGTTGGCTTCACAACTATGTCGCTGAGTATTAACAAAGAGGGATATGGGCATGCCTCAACATGGGGATCATTTTTTAAAAATGGAGTAATGATAATGGGTTCTGCAAGTCTAAATATATGCAATGAAAAGAATGTTGCTTCAGTTCAGATTTTCCCTGGTATTCCTGTCTCTGACACGAAGAGAGCAGGCCTGGCCAGGAAGGCAGTTGTGAAGGTTTGGTTTACAAGGACTGTTTCCCACCTGCTTTCATCACCCATCTATTTCCATAGCACTCAAGAGCAAACAGGCGCCTAGCACACTAGACCATGGGGAAATCAAGATAAAAGTTGTGAACCTGCCCATTCACAATAAAAATATAACCACCTTAATAATGAAAGTTTTGTGGGAGTGTGGAACAAGCTACCCAGTCATGATGCTGATGCTAATGCCAAGAAGCAGCTGCATGAGATGTTAATGAGATCAATTAACTATTAACTATCAAATGTGACAGAGGTCCCAAAAGGGCCTCCTCTTGTTCATAATGTTTCATGTTCTTAACCCTCTCTCGCACTTCCCCTCCACAGAGAGAGCAGCCAGTGTGCTCTGTGATCCTGAAAGTTACTGTGTAACGCCCAGGTCCCACGGGACTGGCAGTTGCTAGTGGATACGGGACTCTATTATGTAGCACCTAGGTGTGGCTTTCCGTTCTAGAGGAGCTACCTAATTGCCAGTGGAATCTTTTGATTTTGGAGACATCTCGTTGTTGTTCCTGGAGCATTTTCTGACGATTTGCTTCACAAACTGCCCATGTGCGTGTCCTCTTTCAAGAACATGGCTGTCTGAAAGCACTGAGCAGCACAGAGCTATCCCTATAAAGGTATACTAGGATATACCATGGTAAAAGCAGAGTAAAAGACTGTACACAATCACAGACCCATATATTGTGTGAAGTCATCATCGTAAACCTAAATAAGGGTGTATTTTAATCATGTAGGGCGCTTTCTGTGGCCAGCACAGAGCGGCCATCTGGAAAGTGTGACCTGCTGGAGTGTCAGAACAGCCTGGAGGGGTCTGTCCCTCTCAGAGTTGGAGGTGTGCAGGTGTTCCCAGCCGGTTTCCTGTTTCTGATCCTGCTCTCGCACTTGGTGTTCCTTCCAGACTGTAGCTACACGTGTCACCTGGAGTGTCAGGGTCTTGTGCAGCTGGACTGCAACCAGCAGGACAGGCAAGAGGAGGACACCCCTTCCCAAGAGAGTCCTGGCCCAGAGCGCCGAGCCCGGGTGAGTGCAGGACTCCTCGTCTCGCTTGCATTGTCTTTTTTTGTTGTTGTTATACAGCTCAGGTAGCGTGTAAGTGAAGGACCTGCTCATGAGAGCCCGGACTGCTAGGACTGTTAACCTTTTTCCTATTCCACCCGCAAGCGATCTAAGTCTTGAACTATATATTTGGTTTGGCTAGAGCAGCAGATGCCGTTTGGCCTGAGGTCATTCAAAATGAAAAGATGAGACATGTTCTCCGACATGATTACCGTCACCTCTGGCTGGTTGGTCTGTTGCAATTCTTTCCCTACTCTTGTGTCTTTCTAAGATGTTGTCACAGCTGCCACTTTACTGGTGTTCGACCTAATGTCGATGGCCAGTAATGCTCTGCAACACCTTTCACCCCTCCAGCAACTTTTACTTTGTCCCAAAGGTATAAACAAAGTCTAAGAAATAATCGCAAAGACCTGGAGTTTTAAAGAGGCTCTATCGCTTTGTAGTGAGGAAACGACACCTGGGGCACCGGTGTCCTGACGTTATAACTGGGTTACAGGATTTATCATAACACCAAAACCCATCGGCCAGTACCTTGGTTTATTCAGTCTTAACTTTGCTTCAGATCCTTTCACTCTGAGCCAGATGCTCAACCTGGGTGCACATGCACAACACCAATGGAACAGCTAGGTGGCGCTGTCACGCTTGGCTACATCTGGCCCATTTTCATTGCAGGACAAACAACTGTCAAAAAGAGTTTGTTCATCAGTAGATCCGAGTTCACGTAGTAGACCCACCAGTTTAGCTTTCCTATTTCTTCTGAAAATGTCAGCTTTGTTTGCCTTTGCATTGCACTGGTTCAGTGACTTATCCCACACTCCCCAGCCCCTACACACCTCAGTGTTCGTCTCACTGGGGCTGTAAATTTGAGATTAAATTGATGTGCCAGAGGAATTGTTGATAGAAGACGAAAAGAAACCTAGTAAATGAAAGCGCTGCTGCCAGGAGAGAGTGTATCTGTGTTAATTAGTAATGAAAGTGGGTTACTGTGTTGAAACAACCAGAGAGCTCTGTACGTTTTGACACACAAACGTGGGCAAGGCAATGGATGAAAAGGAAATGCCTCAGGCATAATAACCGAGCTCTGTTATTCTACTTAGCAAATGAATTAAAATGAACTTTTTCATTTTACGGCCTTGGTGATTCGTACGGAACGTACGTCTTCGAGTTTAGGGTTCTTCCTCGAATAATCCGCCATCGTCGATATGAAGAGTTCGCTCACACCCGTCTCATTAACTGTTGTCCCTGTTTTTTTTTAAGATTGCACCCTCCTGAGAGTAATTACTTTGTCCAGATTCCATTTAGTCTTTTCGCCTAACTCGAAATTAAGTTTTATCTAGCTGTGTACAAATGGGCGTAACTTTCGCGTAAGTGCTCTGGCCTTGTTTTACGTCCTAAAACAGGCTCATGGAAGGACCGTGGTTCGGTCTCACGTTACTGTTGTCATTTCCGTGGCGCCCTGCGGGCTCCTGTTTTGTTTTTCGCTTCTTCTCCCAGGAGACGCGTTTAAATAGTTAATTACCACAGAAAACGTCGGCTGAAATGCGTCTGGAAAGGGATTTAGGAGGATTTTGAAGCTATTAGCTTACTAAACCAATACTTCATAATGCATGTTTTAAAAATAGCGAAATGCAGCCTCACGATTACATCTCTATAAAACAAAAGATTAACAGCTAAGCATTTAACATTTAATGCTTTTAGAGAACAAAGTGTTATGGCAAGGGGTTGTTGTGTTGGTCCTTGTCTTCCTTTAAACGTTGAGTGTCAGAGAGGAACATATTCAATAAATGTATCTTAAATGTTGTTCTTGTCTCTAGCCTGCTGTTTGTTTCTTGTCACAGCCAGGTGGCAATATTTCTAGCCAGGTATAATGGTAAAAGTGATTTTATCATAGGAAACTGCTTTTTGCCCATTAATTTTTCTATTTCTTCTTATTGTCCTCTATAAACATCTGTAGATCATCCTTTCGATGACGGTATTTCTCATCTATTGTGTTTGTGTGACACACGGTCTTCCTAACAAGGATGTGTGTTACAGTTCCCAAGCATCGTAACGGCTTCGGCAGAGCGCCTCTCGGCTAGCGGGCTTTTCTGAAGGCGTCTGCGTTCTGAAGTTCCGCTTTGTCAGTTTCAGTAACTGTCGCGGCCACCCCTCCTGTTTAACTTCTCAGTCGCTCCATCCCTCACCCTTTAGCATAAGCAGTGTGTGTGTTAGAAGATCTGTGTATTTTACAGAAAGTCCTTCAGAAACAACCTTCAGAAAGTCCAGAACATTTTGAGAAAATTTCCTTGATGCCCATCATCCAGTAAAACCCCCTTAAGCTGCCCACAAAGTGCCATCGAGACACTTTCCTTACTCCTTTTAGGCAGCCATTAAAATAAAAAGACAAATCACTATTGTCTTCAACTCAGCATATTGCTGAATATATTTTGGATCCCTTGCAGCTTTGCTGTAAGTGTTTTTATGTTGTAAAATTATTATGTAGTAAATGTGATATACTGTACAGACTACTGTCAAACGTTGTTCTTCAAAAAAACTTTTTTTATTAACACACAAACTAAAACAATCTATTTATAAAGTGGCAAAAAAAAAACCTCTATTACACAACAAACAACAATGAGCTTGCCTTCCTATCTTCCTACTGCTGAAAATGGCAGGTGGGGAGGCTCCAGTTAATGACCTAGAGTGTAGATCAGAGAACTGCAGCTCTCTGGCATTTCCTGTTTCGTGTGCTCAGTCGAAAGTGTTGTTTTAAACAGAAGCAAAGTCCATACCCCCATTGCAAATGGCTGTTTTGCTTCCTCTTTTGCACAACACATGCCGGCACCCTCTCTCTCTCATGCGCATGCACGTCTGAAGTGACACACACGCACGTGCACTGAAAACCGTCTGAGCAGAAATCTGCGTGTTTGTGGAGTATTTCTGACTGAGAGTGACAAGGCGCTGACTGATAATCACGCCGTCGGCACAGATATCTGCGGCTCCCTGTCAGTCCTCCTCCCAGACCCACTGCAGGACGTGGCCTCACGCTGTGCCATGCTGAGAGAGGAGGCCTTTATCTAGCTCTGCGGCCTGCCCTGTGAGCTGTGAAACGGGGTACAGTGACTTGGAGAGTCACACCCTGGTCAGTCCCTGTAGCTTGAATTCCCCCTGCTCTCACACGAGAGCAACACACGGACGAGGCCCCAACTGCAACCTGATTTTAACATGTAAAACCACTCTTGAAGCAGGCAGCCCTGTGAGAGTTTCCTCTACGACCCAGAGCCACAGCCCAGCAGGTTGACTAATGGTTGAATTAACTGGGTCAATTAATTCAGGGATGTTAAGCTCAGGTCCTTGGATGCTGAGGTTTTCGTTTCAGATGATTTTTGAACTACTTCATTGAACCTATGATCTGCTTTAATGGTGGCATTGGTCCAGGTGTTTAGAATTTAGAACGTGTCCGGCTTCTGGATAGGCAGCATTTTAAACCCTGCAATAATATTGTTTTGGGATAATAGCTGCTCTAACAATGAGTCTTCATTTATATAATCAGTGTGCAAACTGTTGTGGTGCACTTCGGGTTGTGCTGTATAGGGTTACAGCTGAGCTGAATTATTAACAAGTCTTGGCTAAAATTATGGAATGAACAAAGTGGTTGTCACAATAGCATGTGGCTGTGCTGGAGGTCCTGAGCATCCAGGAAACTGAGGGCTTGACAGAGACATTACAAGGAAATCCCTCAAGATCCTTAAGTAGAAAAAGAGAGACAGAGGAACTGGGACTAGGTCTTAGGGTGGGGTTGCCATTGTTCACAGGTTCCCAGGACGTTAAATGTTCAGATTTTCTCAATGTAAGGTTCAGAAAAAATAAGAAGAAAGAAAAATGAGCGTGATCTGTCTGGAGGTGTTACCCTGCCATCATTCTTATAGAGTTTGCAGTAGCTTGCCTGCGATTTCATTTCCAGTTCAGGGTTTTAACATTAATATGAATCATGCAAGAAAATCCTCTTTGCAGTCTCCCCGTGCACAAATCCTACAAGTCCAGTAATAAGTATATTAACATTTTCCTGAAAAGGAGGACTAAGCTCTTGGGGTTTTATTTTAATTGCTTATCTTCTGCAGACTCTGGAGACAGAATCCAGTTGCTGCCAATTATCTAAAACTGGGCCCACAATTTATTTCACGCTTGAAAGCACAGCAGCAGCTCACTTTAGTAGTTTTATTTTTGCTTTCCTTCCCCCAAAGTGTTTGTATTTTAAAGCTGCAGAAGCAGAAGGAGCATCCACGTTCACTTTACAACCACCTCCAGGGTCCTCATTACCTGCTTGTCTGGCCAGGCGGTTGCTGGACAGGCTTGCATGTGCTTGACTACCTTTCTTGCTTCCTGTTTCCTCATGGGAAGGAATGAACAGGTTTAATTATTAAGTTGGGGGTGATCCATGATCCGGGGAGCAGAGTTTCAAGCAATGTTCAGATGAGCCTCTGTGGTACTCCGCTGGTATTGGTATCTGGAAAGCAATGCCTAGGCCCAGAGATCGGGTGTCTGTATGGTTTTGTGCTGAAATGCCATGTAAGAGCGATCGAGTTAGCGTGCCCACTTCCTTAGCTTCATTCCCCACAGTTCCTCCTGGCTTGGTTTGGTTCATAAGTAAACATCATTGGACCTGGATATTCAGGAAAGAGCCCTTATCTGACCTTTCTGTAATTCCTCAGAAGTAAGCTCCTTTTTCAATGATTACTTTTCAGATTGATGATTATAAATACCAAATACTGAAGAGCCATGTGATTTGTCAAAAGAACAGATGTGGGGTATAGTTTATAAAATCTTGTCCAGAATCTCTCCTGTAATGGAATCTGGGTTTTAAGGCTGAGCTACCCAGTTAACTGAACCAACCCCCTGAGAGACACCAGTATTTCTGAATGTACTTTGGTCTTTTGCAAAGAAAATAGAACTCACGCTGCTTTAAAATGCTACGTCCATGAAAA